CTGCAATGCATGTAATAGCCTGCGATAGCCTTTAATATCCTGGATTAGCCTGCAATAGCCTATATTAGCATGTAATAGCCTGTAATTGCCTACAATATCCTGCAATAGCCTGTAATTGCCTGCAATAGCCTGTAATTGCCTGCAATAGCCTGTAATTAACTGTAATAGCCTGAAATCATATGTAATTGTCTGTGATAGCATGTAATAGTCTGAAATAGCCTAAAATAGCCTGCAATAGCCTGTAATAGCCTGAAATAGCCTGCACTAGCTTGTAATAGCGTGTAATAGCCTGTAATAGCGTGTAAAAGCCTGTAATAGCTTGTAATAGTCTGTAATAGCGTGTAATAGCCTGTAATAGCGTGTAATAGCCTGTAATAGCTTGTAATAGCCTGTAATAGCGTGTACTAGCCTGTAATAGCGTGTAATAGGCTGTAATAGGCTGTAATAGCGTGTAATAGCCTGTAATACCGTGTAATAGCCTGTAATAGCCCAGAAAAGCGTGTAATAGCATATAATAGCCTGTAATAGCCTGTAATAGCCTGTAATAGCGTGTAATAGCCTGTAATAGCGTGTAATAGCCTGTAATAGCGTGTAATAGCGTGTAATAGCCTGTAATAGCTTGTAATAGCCTGTAAAAGCGTGTAATAGCCTGTAATAGCGTCTAATAGCCTGTAATACCGTGTAATAGCCTGTAATAGCCCAGTATAGCGTGTAATAGCCTGTAATAGCCTGTAATAGCATGTAATAGCCTGTAATAGCGTGTAATAGCCTGTAATAGCGTGTAATAGCGTGTAATAGCCTGTAATAGCCTGTAATAGCCCAGAATAGTGTGTAATAGTCCAGAATAGCGTGTAATAGTCCAGAATAGCGTGTAATAGCGTGTAATAGCCTGTAATAGCGTGTAATAGCCTGTAATAGCCTGTAATAGCCCATAATAGCGTGTAATAGCCTGTAATAGCGTGTAATAGCGTGTAATAGCCTGTAATAGCGTGTAATAGCCTGTAATAGCCCAGAATAGCGTGTAATAGCGTGTAATAGCCTGTAATAGCGTGTAATAGCCTGTAATAGCCCAGAATAGCGTGTAATAGCCTGTAATAGCCTGTAATAGCGTGTAATAGCCTGTAATAGTCCAGAATAGCGTGTAATAGCCTGTAATAGCCTGTAATAGCGTGTAATAGCCTGTAATAGCGTGTAATAGCATGTAATAGCTTGTAATAGCCTGTAACAGCGTGTAATAGCCTGTAATAGCCTGTAATAGCCTGTAATAGCGTGTAATAGCCTGTAATAGCGTGTAATAGGTAACAGGCTGTAATGGCCCAGAATAGCGTGTAATAGCCTGTAATAGCCTGTAATAGCCTGTAATAGCCTGTAATAGCGTGTAATAGCCTGTAATAGCGTGTAATAGCCTGTAATAGCGTGTAATAGCCTGTAATAGCGTGTAATAGCCTGTAATAGCTTGTAATAGCCTGTAATAGAGTTAATAGCCTGTAATAGCGTGTAATAGCCTGTAATACCGTGTAATAGCCTGTAATAGCCCAGAATAGCGTGTAATAGCCTGTAATAGCCTATAATTGCCTGTAATAGCGTGTAATAGCCTGTAATAGCGTGTAATAGCCTGTAATAGCGTGTAATAGCCTGTAATAGCGTGTAATAGCCCATAATAGCGTGTAATAGCCTGTAATAGCCTGTAATAGCGTGTAATAGCCTGTAATAGCCTGTAATAGCCTAGAATAGCGTGTAATAGCCTGTAATAGCCTGTAGTAGCATGTAATAGCCTGTAATAGCCTGTAATTGCCTGTAGTAGCCTGTAATAGCCTGTAATAGCCTATAATAGCCTGTAATAGCCTGTAATAACCTGTTATAGACTGCAATAGACTGTAATGCCTGGCGTATGTGTCGTGGGTGGTAGCGCGGGGTGGTTCTAGTAGAAGTGGTAGTCAGTTGTAGGTTGAAAACCATCTAGTTCGATCCTGACTAGAACCAAATTGTCAACTCTGATGTGTATTAACTTTTATTTCTATAAGCTGGACAGGACTGTGAAGGCTGCCAGATGGTTCCCGTGACTATTGTTATACCAACGGACTTCTCTGCAACCTATGATACAACTGACACACCAGTCTGTTGTCTGCCGATGAAAATGTAAAAACAACAACTTGATAGTTTGTTGAATATTGTGTGCAGTAATAAGAACATAATTCACGGTCTTATATTGGTGGGGGGGGGGGGGGAAACAAATAAATATCATAGCTTATTTTGAATGGGACATCATAATATTCATGACGGTTTTAGCGAGGGCTCATATTTGGGGTCCGGCGTAGGGTTGATCACATCAGCCACCCAGTGCCGGTTGGTCTCTACAATATACGTCTAGCCGTATGTGCCTAATGTAAATGACGGCGTGAAAAATGGTCCTCTGACTTGTTTATTTAGGATGGTTATTATTACAAGTACTCTACCTCTTATGTTTGGGTTAGGTCTCTCTTCCAGGAAACACGACAGAATTTGCTGTTTCCTTACTTGTGCTGAAGTTGTTGCCTTGTAGAACATATCAAGGTTTCTATGGATGTCTTTTTCCTGGTTTGCTTGTCCGCGTGTAGCGGTATGGAGAAATCTATTGACTGGGGCATTTATACCCAACCCGAGCGAACTACCGGAGACCTTCTACCTGTCGGGTGCCCCGATTTAGCTGTTTTATACGGATGAACTGGGTTTCTGGGATGTTTACCTAGGGGATTCTCATCCGGAATAGGGACTCTTTGAGTCAGGGGTTGTTAATCTCTCTGTAGACGGCGCGCACCTGACTATCACACGCACTCTCACAATCTCTGACTCACTCTCCGGCTTACTCTCTCACTCACTATCTAACTCACTATTTTTTCCCTCACTCTCTCACTCACCTGCTCTCTCCCTCTCTCATTCACTCAGTCTCTCAGACCTCTCAAACTTACTCTCTCACTCAGTCTCTCTCACTATCTCACTCTCCTCACTCACTCACTCCATCACTCCTTCACTCACTCACTCACTCTCTCCCTCCCTCACTAACTCACTCACTCACTATCGCTCACTCTTTCTTTCACTCTCTTACTGTCTCTCACTCTCCCACTCACTCTCACTCTCACTCACTCCCTCACTCTCTCACTCTAACTCACTCAGTCACTCTAACACTTACTCACTCGCTCACTCACTCAGTCTCTCACTATCTCACTCTCACTCAGTAACTCTCTCACTCACTCACTCATTCACTCACTCACTCTCACTAACTCACTCACTATATTTCTGTTAATATGCCCAGCAATTTTTTTTTCTTTCTCATTGCTCTGAATTTTACGATGAGAAGGTCACCAGTCCTATCAAGGCTGGGATGAGAAGGTCACAAGTCCTATCAAGGCTGGGATGAGAAGGTCACAAGTCCTATCAAGGCTGGGATGAGAAGGTCACAAGTCCTATCAAGGCTGGGATGAGAAGGTCACAAGTCCTATCAAGGCTGGGATGAGAAGGTCACCAGTCCTCTCAAGCTAGGATGAAAAGGCCACAAGTCCTATCAAGGCTGGGATGAGAAATCCACAAGTCCTATCAAGGCTAGGATGAGAAATCCACAAGTCCTCTCAAGGCTAGGATGAGAAATCCACAAGTCCTCTCAAGGCTAGGATGAGAAATCCACAAGTCCTCTCAAGGCTAGGATGAGAAATCCACAAGTCATATCAAGGCTGGGATGAGAAATCCACAAGTCCTATCAAGGCTGGGATGAGAAATCTACAAGTCCTATCAAGGCTGGGATGAGAAATCCACAAGTCCTATCAAGGCTGGGATGAGAAATCCACAAGTCCTATCAAGGCTGGGATGAGAAATCCACAAGTCCTATCAAGGCTGGGATGAGAAATCCACAAGTCTTCTCAAGGCTGAGGTGCAAGGCCTGTCCTGAACTGATCCATGCAGCCTGGTGTCCATCGGAATGCTACCTTAGTTTCTTTGGCGTTTGGATGCGTTTGGTTTGGCCAATGATCATGTAACACTAGAAAATAATTCAGTCAATTGTGACTAAAAAGCTTCACGAAATGGTGATATGGAAAAACGTGCACAAAACATTTTAGTCACTTTTTAGTCACAGTTGACTGGATTTATTCCTATGTATTAGCTTGACTGCAGTCACCCATTTTTTTTCAGCACTTCATCTAACACTAGTAGTTCTGCATACATCAAGAGAAATTTCTTCTTCCTTGTCCACGGTTTTCGCTAACGAATTTTTAGACAGACATTTCCAACATCTTAGGTGTACTTCTGCCAGCAGAACTTCTGTCTCGTTGTCACGATGTTCTTCAAACCATCTCTTCAAGTCACAACAAAATAGGCTCTTTTTCTTATAATTGATTAGTGAGTGCTGTCATCACCTTACTCCGAAGATACCCATAGCTGCTCCAACCTTGTCCTCGACAGCTGCAGACGAGTAAAACGGCAGATGACGCCTGTTCTGTGTTTATTATTTAATCGAACTGATTACGTGTTTATTTCTTGCAGCTCCAGGTTTTCTTCTGTTGCCCATCAGCCAGGACAGAAGAAGGGAGTCATACCCTGTTTGTTTTTGTTAATTGTTCCCTCTCTCTGGGATTTGTTGTCCTAGTTTGAGCTCAGTGAATTCATTTGTTCGGTCACATTTCAAAATCCATTGCCATACACCTAAACGCACAGCAGTCGCCTTATCTGCAACGACTACTGCCAACAGAATAATTAGGAATAAAATATTTGTTATTTAAGTTCAATGATCATTCGTCCAAAACAGCCGACCCTCATTGTGTGAATGATTGAATGATTGAATGAATAATTATTCCTTAGAAAATGCACGTATTTATGATGGTTCCTCTGACAAGCAAACAATGTAACAATCAAGGTGAGAATACATTGTAATATAAATATTTATTCCTGAAAGTATTTCTTAAGCTTGGTAACGTAGGGAAACATTATAGTGGAGGCATTTGCAGATGACAATGTTATCACTGGGATGCCTAGCTGGAGGTAATGCACAGACTACAGTACTTTCTGCAATAGTGGTGTCCATCCACGGTGTCCAGGCAGATGGGATGGGCAGTCTCGTTCATCAGGGCACAATCTCGGAGGGTCAGCAGGTCATTGCACAGACTGTCGTGCTCCTCGGCTGCACAGTACACAAGTGTTATCAGTCAATCGATCAATCAGTTAATGTTAGCAGTCAATCAATCAGTAAACGTTATTGGTCAATCGATCGATCAGCCAATGTTATCAGTCAATCGATCAGTAAACGTTATCAGTCAATCGATCGATCAGACAGTGTTATCAGTCAATATATCGATCAGTCAATGTTATCGGTCAATCAATCGATCTGTCCATGTTATCAGTCAATCGATCGAAAAGTCAATGTTAACAGTCAGCTCATTATTCAAATAATCCATTATTACATCTATCTATCTATCTCTATCTATCTATCTATCTATCTATCTATCTATCTATCTATCTATCTATCTATCTATCTATCTATCTATCTATCTATCTATCTATCTATCTATCTATCTATCTATCTATCTATCTATCTATCCATCTATCTATCTATCTATCTATCTATCTTATCTGTCTATCTATCTATCTATCTTCTATCTATCTATCTATCTATCTATCTATCTATCTATCTATCTATCTATCTATATCATCTATCTATCTATCTATCTATTATCTATCAATCTATCTATCTATCTATCTATCTATCTATCTATCTATCTATCTATCTATCTATCTATCTATCTATCTATCTATCTATCTATCTATCTATCTATCTATCTATCTATCTATCTATCTATCTATCTATCTATCTATCTATCTATCTATCTATCTATCTATCTATCTATCTATCTATCTATCTATCTATCTATCTATCTATCTATCTATCTATCTATCTATCTATCTATCTATCTATCTATCTATCTATCTATCTATCTATCTATCTATCTATCTATCTATCTATCTATCTATCTATCTATCTATCTATCTATCTATCTATCTATCTATCTATCTATCTATCTATCTATCTATCTATCTATCTGTATCTATCTATCTATCTATCTATCTATCTATCTATCTATCTATCTATCTATCTATCTATCTATCTATCTATCTTATCTATCTATCTATCTATCTATCTATCTATCTATCTATCTATCTATCTATCTATCTATCTATCTATCTATCTATCTATCTATCTATCTATCTATCTATCTATCTATCTATCTATCTATCATCTATCTATCTATCTATCTATCTATCTATCTATCTATCTATCTATCTATCTATCTCATCTGTCTGTCTGTCTATCTGTCTGTCTGTCTGTCTGTCTGTCTGTCTGTCTGTCTGTCTGTCTGTCCTGTCTGTCTGTCTGTCTGTCTGTCTATCTTATCTATCTATCTATCTATCTATCTATCTATCTATCTATCTATCTATCTATCTATCTATCTATCTATCTATATCTATCTATCTATCTATCTATCTATCTATCTATCTATCTATCTATCATATCTATCTATCTATCTATCTATCTTTCTGGTCTATCTATCTGTCTGTCTGTCTGTCCTGTCTGTCTGTCTGTCTGTCTGTCTGTCTGTCTGTCTGTCTGTCTGTCTGTCTGTCTGTCTGTCTGTCTGTCTGGCTGGCTGGCTGGCTGGCTGGCTGGCTGGCTGGCTGGCTGGCTGGCTGGCTGGCTGGCTGGCTGGCTGTCTGTCTGTCTGTCTGTCTGTCGTTCTGTCTGTCTGTCGTTCTGTCTGTCTGTCTGTCGTTCTGTCTGTCTGTCTGTCTGAAAACACTAGAAAGATATTTTATATTGTCTCACATATACAGATTACTGCTCTACAATATTTGATTTCTGCTTCCCTTCTGTTATGAAGCGGCTGACGTCACTGCGAAACCTCCCTATTCACTTAATATGTAATCATCATGAAGCAGTGAGCTCTGAAACATACAAAGGTCTCATGCAACTACAGCTTCACGAACGTATACTTGTCAATCAGGCCAAATGTATTGAATCCAAATTCCACAACTCATCAAAAATACTGTGGTCCCTACATATAGAATCGGAAACAGTTCGAGTATATTTTGAGCATAGAATACATGCCTACATTAAAGAGAAAAGTGTGTTAGAAATTATCTACTGGACGTGTCGACTATTACTTGATGTATGAACGTAATGATGAATGAAAAAGGGGAGACTAAAAGAGCAGGCTGTTTAGACAGGCTTGCGTGCCCAATTCTTAACGTTCTGAGAATAAAGATTTTTTAACCGTTCGTTCAGTGCCTGGACATGTACTTACCACAGTTCAGCTCATCAGAAGCGTCACCGCAGTCGTTATCGTGGTCACACCTCCAATCTTTGTCGATACAGCGTCCGTTTGTACATTTCCACTCGGTGGTTTCATCACACACTGTTATAGACAGGATTTATTTGTAGACAGCAAACAGTTTTATACAAAAACCAGTTGTAGACAGAAACCAGTTATAGTCAAAAACCAGTTATAGTCAAAAAACCAGTTATAGACAAGCTAACCAGTATAGTCAAGAACCAAGTCAACCAGTATAGTCAAGAACCAGTTATAGTCAAGAACCAGTTATAGTCAAGAACCAGTTATAGACAAGAACCAGTTATAGTCAAGAACCAGTTACAGTCAAGAACCGTTTATAGACAAGAACCAGTTATAGTCAAGAATCAGTTTTACAGGAAAACCAGTTATAGACAACCAGTTATAGTCAAGAACCAGTTATAGTCAAGAACCAGTTATAGACAGTTATAGACAGGAACCAGTTATAACCAGTTATAGTCAAGAACCAGTTTATAGTCAAGAAACCAGTTACCAGTCAAGAACCAGTTATAGACAGGAACCAGTTATAGTCAAGAACCAGTTATAGACAGGAACCAGTTATAGACAGGAACCAGTTATAGTCAAGAACCAGTTATAGACAGGAACCAGTTATAGTCAAGAACCAGTTATAGACAGGAACCAGTTATAGACAGGTCAAGACCAGTTATAGACAGGAAACAGTTATAGACAAGAACAGTTATAGTCAAGAACCAGTTATAGTCAAGAACCAGTTATAGTCAAAACCAGTTATAGTCAACCAGTTATAGTCAAGGAACCAGTTATAGTCAAGAACCAGTTTATAGTCAAGAACCAGTTATAGTCAAGAAACCAGTTATAGTCAAGAACCAGTTATAGTCAAGAACCAGTTATAGTCAAGAACCAGTTATAGTCAGTTAAGAACCAGTTATAGTCAAGGAACCAGTTATAGTCAGGAACCAGTTATAGTCAAGAACCAGTTATAGTCAGGAACCAGTTATAGTCAAGAACCAGTTATAGTCAGGAACCAGTTATAGACAAGAACCAGTTATAGACAGGAACCAGTTATACCAGTCAAGACAGAACCAGTTATAGTCAAGAACCAGTTATAGTCAAGAACCAGTTATAGACAGAAACCAGTTATAGACAGGAACCAGTTATAGTCAGGAACCAGTTATAGTCAGGAACCAGTTATAGTCAAGAACCAGTTATAGACAGGAACCAGTTATAGTCAAGAACCAGTTATAGACAGGAACCAGTTATAGTCAGGAACCAGTTATAGACAGGAACCAGTTATAGTCAAAAACCAGTTATAGTCAGGAACCAGTTATAGTCAAGAACCAGTTATAGTCAAGAACCAGTTATAGACAGGAAACAGTTATAGACAAGAACCAGTTATAGACAGGAACCAGTTATAGTCAGGAACCAGTTATAGTCAAGAACCAGTTATAGACAGGAACCAGTTATAGTCAAGAACCAGTTATAGTCAAGAACCAGTTATAGACAGGAACCAGTTATAGTCAGGAACCAGTTATAGACAGGATCCAGTTATAGTCAAGAACCAGTTATAGACAGGAACCAGTTATAGACAGGAACCAGTTATATAGTTATAGACAGGAACCAGTTTATAGACCAGGAACCAGTTATAGACAGGAACCAGTTATAGTCAAGAACCAGTTATAGACAGGAACCAGTTATAGTCAAGAACCAGTTATAGACAGGAACCAGTTATAGTCAGGAACCAGTTATAGACAGGAACCAGTTATAGACAGGAACCAGTTATAGTCAGGAACCAGTTATAGACAGGAACCAGTTATAGACAAGAACCAGTTATAGACAGGAACCAGTTTATAAGAACCAGTTATAGACAGGAACCAGTTATAGACAGGAACCAGAAACCAGTTATAGACAGGAACCAGTTATAGTCAAGAACCAGTTATAGTCAAGAACCAGTTATAGACAGGAACCAGTTATAGACAGGAACCAGTTATAGACAGGAACCAGTTATAGTCAAGAACCAGTTATAGTCAAGAACCAGTTATAGTCAGGAACCAGTTATAGTTATAGACAACCAGTTAAGCAGTTATAGTCAAGAACCAGTTATAGTCAAGAAAAGTTATACAGGAACCAGTTACCAGACAGGAACCAGTTTATAGTCAAGAACCAGTTATAGACAAGAACCAGTTATAGTCAAGAACCAGTTATAGTCAAGAACCAGTTATAGTCAAGAACCAGTTATAGTCAAGAACCAGTTATAGTCAAGAACCAGTTATAGTCAAGAACCAGTTATAGTCAAGAACCAGTTATAGTCAAGAACCAGTTATAGTCAAGAACCAGTTATAGTCAAGAACCAGTTATAGACAGGAACCAGTTATAGTCAAGAACCATTTATAGACAGGAAACAGTTATAGTTAAGAACCAGTTATAGACAGGATCCAGTTATAGTCAAGAACCAGTTATAGACAGGAACCAGTTATAGTCAAGAACCATTTATAGACAGGAACCAGTTATAGTCAAGAACCAGTAATAGACAGGATCCAGTTATAGTCAAGAACCATTTATAGACAGGATCCAGTTATAGTCAAGAACCAGTTATAGACAGTGGCCAGTTATAGTCAAGAACCAGTTATAGACAGGAACCAGTTATAGTCAAGAACCAGTTATAGACAGGAACCAGTTATATTCAAAAACCAGTTATAGTTAAGAGCCAGTTATAGTCAAGAACCAGTTATAGTCAAGAACCAGTTATAGTCAAGAACCAGTTATAGACAAGAACCAGTTATAGTCAAGAACCAGTTATAGTCAAGAACCAGTTATAGTCAGGGACCAGTTAAAGTCAAGAACCACTTATAGTCAGGAACCAGTTATAGTCAAGAACCAGTTATAGTCAAGAACCAGTTATAGTCAGGAACCAGTTATAGTCAAGAACCAGTTATAGTCAGGATCCAGTTATAGTCAAGAACCAGTTATATTCAGGAACCAGTTATAGTCAAGAACCAGTTATAGTCAAGAACCAGTTATAGTCAGGAACCAGTTATAGTCAAGAACCAGTTATAGTCAAGAACCAGTTATAGTCAAGAACCAGTTATAGTCAGGATCCAGTTATAGTCAAGAACCAGTTATAGTCAGGAACCAGTTATAGTCAAGAACCATTTATAGACAGGAACCAGTTATAAACAGGAACCAGTTATAGACAGGAACCAGTTATAGTCAAGAACCAGTTATAGACAGGAACCAGTTATAGACAAGAACCAGTTATAGACAGGAACCAGTTATAGACAGGAACCAGTTATAGACAGGACCCAGTTATAGACAGGAACCAGTTATAGTCAAGAACCATTTATAGACAGGAACCAGTTATAGACAGGGGCCAGTTATAGAAAGGATTTAAGTATATACAGGAATCAGGTTTTAACAGTAATCAGGTAAAGACAGGAATCAGGTATAGACAGGGATCAGGTAAAAACAGGAATCAGGTATAGACAGGCATCAGGTAAAGACAGGAATCAGGTATAGACAGGGATCAGGTATAGACAGGGATCAGGTATAGACAGGGATTTGGTGTAGACAGGGATTCGGTATAGACAGGGATTTGGTATAGACAGGGATTCGGTATAGACAGGGATTTGGTATAGACAGGGATTCGGTATAGACAGGGATTTGGTATAGACAGGGATTTGGTATAGACAGGGATTTGGTATAGACAGGGATTCCACAGACTTCAACTTCATGAAAGAATCACCTGACAGTCTAAGTTAGCGGGTCTGAGTTCGAGCCCTTAAGGGTGGCAGGAGAAAGAGGAGGGAAAACAATAAGTATTGTATATTATGAACATTACAATCTTTACTGATACGGCATGCTTGAATATATTTTTTCAACTCAAAACATGTAACTAACACTGAAAAGACATTAAGCAAATTACAAACTGGGTCAACAGAAAGAAAGAGTGTTTCATAATGGATATTTAAAGACGACTTTTATATAATTATATAAATAACAATATTGATTGAGAAAGAGAGAGTGAGAGAGAAAGAGAGAGGACAAGAAAGAGACAGAAAGAAAGAGAGAAAGAGAGAGAGAAGGAGAGAGAGAGAAGGAGAGAGACGGGGAGAGAGAGAGAAAGGAAGAGAGAGAGAGAGAGAGAGAGAGAGAGAGAGAGTGAGAGAGAGAGAGAAAGAGAGTAAAGGACTCACCACACTGGAGCTCATCGCTGGCATCTCTACAATCATCCTCTCCGTCACACTCCCACCTCCTGTCGATGCACTTTGAGCCGTCAGCGCAGCGGAACTGGTAGCTGTTACAACTTCCGGCTGTGGAGAGACAAGCGTGTCATTAGTCCAGAGACAGACTATAGTCGTTTCTGAGACAGACATTCACCTTAGTTTCAAAAACAGACACTTCGTACTATAGATTTAGATTACAAATCATGCTACAGGCAGACACATTGACCGACACAGTGAAGACTACATTAGTCTTCATTACATAATATATTGGTTGTCTTATTAAACATATACACACTCACACACAAAGGTGCACTCACACACACACACACTCACTGACACACACACACTGAGGCGCGCTCAAACACACACACACACACAGGCGCATGATGTATTTTAAATATTTTTTGGGAAAAAAATTGCCGTTCCCAAATTTGTAATCACGCCACATAATCTGCGATAGTCAATCTTATTTTGGGTAATGTGTCCTCCAGCACTCTCTATTCTCACTGGATTCTACTGGTTAAATCGCTAACAGCATTAGGGTGAGGCACCTGAGTAACACGAGATGCATTATAAATTACTGAACAATCGCATACGAATAGACGCCACCGCTAAGGAACACTAGCAGTGATGTTCTAAACTAACGGTTACACAGCGCTGGAAAGATGACGTAATGCAAACATTAATTATGGTGCGCAAATAATGTATTTAAAAAAGTCTAAAGTAATTATATATATATATATAGATGAAAAACCCACTGCTGTTAAAAAGGAATATAGTTTTGTCACAATTGTTTTACTTAAAGTCTGTGTCATAGGATGAATGAAATTGTCAAATTGCAGATAACAATACTTTAGAGTTCAGGCAATCAAGTGCCATGTAGGAAGTGACTTGTTAAATGGCGCGGGCGTGAAACTTTCCAAGGGCAGACCCAAGGATAAAAACAGACGAGCTTAGACAGACCAGAAATACTCACTGCAGTTCTTCTCGTCAAATCCATTGCCACAGTCGTCTATGCTGTCACAGAACCAAGTGCTTTCAATACAGACAAAATTGTCGCATTTTACCTCGCCAGCTGAGCAATCAGTGATATCTGGAGACATCGAATAAATCAAACAGTCAGTGATATTTGGAGACATCGAATAAATCAAACAGTCATTGGTATCTGGAGACATCGCATAAATCAAACAGTCAGTGCTATCTGGAGACATCGAATAAATCAAACAGTCAGTGATATCTGGAGACATCGAATAAAACAAACAGTCAGTGTGCATTCCTGCATGTAAAAACACGCCTGAACTATACCAGCAGAATTATAGGAACCATTCAAATTACTAGAACTGATTGACACTTGTAGATGTTTGCTGCTATGTAATGCCATGAGTAACCAATTTTTAAAGCAAGTGTAATTTTTTTTCTTATAAATATATCGACTCGAACACATGACTACCATACCCAGACCATCTTCATAATACAATACTTGCTTTGTATAGAAGTATATATTAAAAGTGTTTTGTGCAAGGGTATATGATAAAAACATTTTGTCCAAAGAAATAGGATAAAGCTTTTCTGTGCAAGGATATATGTTAAAGACATTGTGTGCAAGGGTACCTATATTAAAGGTGTTCTGGGCAAATGTATGTGTAACAATCTGTCTCTTGCTGTGAATACTGTTAGTTCAGTTTTTGTCTTCATCCTTCGGATGTGGAGAATGGAGGTGGAGGCAGTCACGGCAGCTTCCTGATGGCTTGAGAGCTGGACAGCCTGACATGTTGTAACTGTAATAGACTCACAGAAATGAAACCCGTGTTTTGCCCGCAGAATGGCTTGCATTACTTGATAAGACCCAGATCAAGATCATATCAATAATTTTCTGTCAAGCAGGTTGATAGATAAACTGCTGCCGATCTTCTGAGGGGTGAGCTACTCTATGATAATGCGGATGGGCTGAAAGCTCTTTGATAATGCGGATGGGGTGATAGCTCTATGGATCTAATAGACAGTGCAATAGAATAGATAAGGACTCCATACACCGAAAGACTAATTCAGTGGCGTCTGAGAAGGTTTTGGAAGATATTCGACACTAAAGAGGAAACAGGGGCGCACTTTTAATCAGGTTGCAGCAAGTACTATTGTCATGTCAACTCTTCGATGGCTACTGCAGAAGGGGACAGAGCACGTGTGGGAATGTCGCGTGTGCAGTGATGTCAGTTTTTGATTGATTATTTCAAGCATTTATTCACTGAGCTTTCTACTTAACACGTAATTTTATGAACGCTTCTATAACCCTCCAGCCAGTCTATCTCCCTGTTCATTTCCAAACACACCAGTATACCTGAAAAAAATATCCAACGAACACAGACTACGTCGGATTTCTGAAGTAATGATTGTCCTTCCACGGAGCTTACCTGTCTCAACCTTTCTCAACGAGTTCTGTGAGTCCGTCACATGGTCTGAAGAGCATGGTGCTGAGCAGAGAGTCTCATGAGGAAGGTGAGACGGACATATAAAGTAAGTAAAAAAAAAAAATATTTTTTCAACGCCTACAGATGTATCTGGGCATATAGGACTAGACCTATATTTTGTAGACCAATCGTCACTCCGTGGGTAATGTTGTTAACGTTACGTAGGCCTCCTTTACTTTCCAGGAGTGTAACTGATACTCGTTTTAGGCTGGGTCGACCTGGGGGTCAGGGTTATTCTTGAAAAATTTCCGATTGCGTCAGGACACGAAACCACGAGCTTCCGGTCTGCAGGAAACAGTAGATCCACACTTTTAATATCCGATTTGGAACTCTAAACATTCTGCCGAAGATGGGGACGGAGCGCTTGTGGGAATGATCCGAGTGATGTGATGTCAGTTTTTTAACTCATATAACCCTGGACGGGCTTTTCGTATTTTAGTATCAACAGACTAAGCTATAACCCACAGAAAACAGACAAAACGGTGTGTGAAATAGACAGACTTACGGCAGTTGATTTCATCAGTGTTATCACCGCAGTCATTCTCGCCATCACACCTGTACTCGGAGGCCACACACTTGCCGTTGTTACACTTGACCTGGTGCTCACCTGTACAGTCAGTGGCTGGAAACATATTAAATCATGTACATAAACAACGTTAAACATTCTAAATTACACACAAGAACAAGGCTGCTCCTGCTGGCAATGTTCATAGAGAAGAGGTCAGTTTACAGAGAGACTCTACAAGACAGACGTGGAGGGGCCGTGGGGGAATGGGGGGGGGGGGAATTGGCAAAAGAGGTGAGAATTCTAATAATGTGATAATAAATCAATATAGTGACTTGATTGATGATCCGGGGGAAGATGATGAGGACGAGAAAGAGAAAGACAGTGAGGAGGAGGTGAGAAAGACAGTCATGAGGAGAAAGAGAAAGACACTGAAGAGTAGCAAGAGAAAGACACTGAGAAGAAGGAAGAGAAAGACAATAAGGAGAAGGTTGAGAAAGTCAATGAGCAGGAGGAAGAGAAAGACAATGAGGAGAAGGAATAGAAAGACAGTGAGGAGAAGGAAGAGAAAGACAGTGAGGAGAAGGTAGAGAAAGACAATGAGGAGAAGGAATAGAAAGACAGTGTGGAGAAGGAAGAGAAAGACAGTGAGGAGAAGGAAGAGAAAGACAGTGAGGAGAAGGAAGAGAAAGACTGAGGAGAAGGAAGAGAAAGACAGTGAGAAGGAGAAAGAGAAAGTCAATGAGGAGAAGGAAGAGAAAGACAGTGAGGTGAAGGAAGAGAAAGCAACGAGGAGAAGGAAGAGAAAGACAATGAGGAGAAGGAAGAGAAAGACAGTGTGGAGGAGGAAGAAAAAACAGTGAGGAGGAGGAAGAGATAGACAATGAAGAGGAGGAAGAGAAAGACAGAGAGAAGGAGATAGAGAGACAGTGAGGAGGAGGAAGAGAAGGACAGAAGGAGGAAGAAAAAGACAGTGAGGATGAGAAAAAGAAAGACAGAGGCGAAAGAAGAAAAAGATAGTGAGGAGGAAGAAGAGAAAGATAGTGAGGAGGTGAAAGGGAAAGACAGTGAGGAGAAGGGAGAGAAAAACAGTGAGAAGTAGGATGAGAAAGACAGTGAGGAGGAGAAAGAGAAAGACGGTTAGGCGCAGGAGGAAGAGAAAGACAGTGAGGAGGAGGAGGAGGAGGAGGAGGAGAGAGACAGTGAGGATGATAAAGTCAAGCTAGAGGATAAAAACAGATCAGCAGGATGCACATTTTGAGGAGGTGAATGATAAAAATGAGGGCAGGGAAGAGGAGGTACACAATGAGGAAATGGGGTATACTGATGATGATGATGAAGGAGGAGGAAGATAACCGGATAATAATGAGGAAATGATAAGGGTGATGATGACGAGAAAAAAGAAAATAATAATGATGGGAAGGAGTTAATGACGAGGTTGATGATGACAATATGGAAGATAATAATAATGAGGAGGAGGGGTGAAAAGGATTTGAAGACGGATATTAACAAAGAGGAGATAATAATGAGGAGACAAAAGAGATGTAGGAGGAAGACCATAATTATCAGGAAAGGAATAAGCTGATGGTGATGATAATGATGAAGAGGAGAAGGGGGCGAAGGAGGAGGAGGATGACGGCACAGGTAAGGATAACACAAACGTAATATAAAAATACTCACGACATCCTGCTTCGTCAGAACCATCGTAGCAGTCCCTCTCGGTGTCACAGACCCACTCGGACTGTACACACAAACCGTCCTTGCACTTGAATTCGTTGTCCTTACACGTGGCTGGGGAGCACACACATTAGCACATGTCACACTTTGCTGTGGGGACACACACATTAGCACATGTCACACTTTGCTGTGGGGACACACACATTAGCACATGTCACACTTTGCTGTTGGGGACACACACATTAGCACATGTCACACTTTGCTGTGGGGACACACATTAGCACATGTCACATTTTGCTGTTGGAGACACACATTAGCACATGTCACATTTTGCTGTTGGGGGACACTCATTAACACATGTCACATTTTGCTGTTGGGGGACACTCATTAACACATGTCACATTTTGCTGTTGGGGGACACGCATTAACACATGTCACATTTTGCTGTTGGGGGACACGCATTAACACATGTCACTGAGGAAAACGGCGGAGCACTGGAGGGAATGTTTCGATCCGTGTGATGCCCATTCTTGATTTGTACATTCATTTGTGCTTGCTTGGAAACTACCCTACAAAGCTAGAACTGTTTACAATCTACAGCCGGAGATCACCGGAGAGGACTAAAAATCCGATACTGTGTTTTATGTATAGCACATTCGACATCATTGCACATAGTACATTCCCATAGTTGCTCAGTCCTCTGAACGCAGCAGCAGTTGCAAGTTTACTGTAGATAGGCCCCACATTTAAAGAAAATAACACAACACAGCGGTTTACGAGTCAAATTGATAATATTATTAGGTCAACATATTAAAGTTCATAGTGAGCAGTGCGAACAGTCAATGGTTTAAGTGACTGGTTTGAAGTGGATACTGGATGAAACAGGGATGCATTTTTTTTTTTATCTGTTCTGTTATTTAGCACAACCATTGACTGGGTGGAGAATTCACAGTTGGCAGATCTTCATTTTGCTGATGATGTTGTTCCGCTAAGTAAAAACAGCAATGAAATGCACAGGAAAACAGATGGGTTGCCTAATATAGCATCAAGGGTTGAACTACAAAACAGTTATGAAGAGACAAAATAGAGGGCACCAACAACAGATCAAGCAGATGTAATACTAAATTTAATTCAACCGATCAATTTAATTAGTTAGATAGTAATTCTGATAGTAAAGGAAATACAAAGAAACAAACTATGACAAGCACAGGTAAGGCATCAGCAGTTTTTAATAGCTTGAACAAAACAGGCAACTCGAACTATTATAGTTTTAAAACCAAATTACGAACAACATATAAAGGGGAAAATCTGAGAACCTCAAAGACATGGAACAACATTGCATCAGGAGAAAAAATATTGTCAGAGGAAAATGACGACAATAAACTGCAATGACTCAAAAAGTGGGCAAGAAATCAGAGAAATGTCTGGGCAACCACTAGTATCCGCTATAAGACAGAGCTGCTGGCGCTACATTGGACACAGAAGAAACCAGCATAGAAACATCAAATAAGCATTAAAGTTAGAAATAAAGGAGAATGAATAAATGAATTATCAGTTAGTACGATTACTAATATTTTGATGAGTTGTGGATGTAAGACCATACATTCACGGCCACATGATATGGGTTTGGTGACCCTTTTCTTGATCTTCGCTATTTCTTTGAAACAATCACGGACAAGTATAAAATGGGTGCAGTACCCACCTGGAAGAGACTTGTTGATTCTATATCCGTACTCGCGGGAACAAATTCTGACAAGTGATGGACAATTGAACCCTGGTCATTGGTTTGGTGTGCAAGCTAACTAGCCAATACACCACAGCCACTCCCACAATGGAATGAAGGGAAACAAGAGCTAATTGTTTACCTTGTCTCTTGGCTATGTTGGGTCTCTCATTGACTGACCGAACTCTCCTAGAGGACTTCTTAGTCAGCGCTGCCGCCACGGCGACACAGACAAGCACGGTCAAACACAATCTCAGAGACATCATGATGTTACTGCAATGTGACACGATGTGGGAAGTGATCTGGAGTCTAAGTGCCGAACTTCTCCAGCACCTGTCTTATATACACGCGGTCACTGACCTAGTTTTTTTTTTTTTCAACATCTGTGATAAGGCGAGCGGATCTAGGAGAGACTGTTGCAACTTCCTCGAAGCAATAACAATCGCATGAAATTTAACATTAAAAACAAAATTTATTTATGCTTATAACAAGACAAAAGTTACAAGCATTAGCATTGCACAAGCCACCACTTGAGCTTTACATAGATCAATTAGCTGTTGTTAATGAAACTGAGCACAAAACATTAGGCCTTACAATTGACAATCATTTAACTTGGAATGCTCATGTTTGTATCATGGGTAAGAAAAAAGCATAAATAAATTGCCAAAATTCAACGCTTCCTGGATAAAGAAAGATACACAAAGAATATTTTACGCTTCCTACATTCAAACAAATGTAGACTATTGCTCAACAGTTTGGGATGGATGCGCGAAATCTAATATTAATAGACTAAGTTTCCTTCAAAATCGCGCTTTACGCTTGGTTTTAGATAGAAATGCCATCTATAGCCATCTAATGTTTCTAATATTTAGTAAACGTTTAATTTTATACAAGGCTAAATCTATTTATTAAATTGTATCCCAAAATACTCCAAACTACCTTTTTCAGTTGATTAAATCCAGTCCTACATACAGCAAGTGACTACGTTTATTACATTTTCCTAAACCTAGAATAGATTTAAGTAAAACAAGTTCAGCATTTTCTGCAGCTCATTTATTAAAACATCTTCCAATTGATTTGAAAAATACAAAAAGTTCCTATCCATTTAGCCGCAAACTTTTTTACTTCATGCTTACGAGGGATTATATGCCACCTTTAAAGTCGTTATTAATCTCCACTGCATTAGCAGTTTATAATTTAATGAGGTGTGTATGATATGTATGCATTAGTATGCTTGACATGTGTATGTGTAGTATATATGTATGCATATAAAGCAGTGTTTGTGTATGTATGATTAGGTGCATGTATGAGTGTGTGTACAAATAACTGTAAAAGATTGTGTTTGTGTGTGTGTGTGTCTCTGTCTATGCGTGTATGTGTATGCGCCTGTGTATGTGCATCTGAGTGTGTCTACGTATATGTGTATGTATGATGGTATGTGTGTTTGCGAATGTGTGTCTGCGTGAGTTTCTGTGTGCATCTGCTTGTGTGTCTGTGTGTGTGTGTGTGTGTCTGTGTGTACATGTCTGTATTTGCGTCTGCGTGTGTGCGTGTGTATCGGCGTGTGTGTCTGCATGGGTGTCTATGTGTGTGATCTGTATGTGTCCGTGTGTGTGTGTGTGTCTCTGTGTGTTTCTGTGTGTGTTTCTGTGTGTTTTCGCGTGTGTGTCCGTGTGCAAATCTATCTCTGTGTGTCTGTGTCTGTGTGTAAGTGTGTATTTGTCTGAGGGTGTTTCTGTGTGAGTTTCTCTTGTGTCTATCTTCTTCTTCTTCTTCACTTCCTCTTTTACCGCTGTGGGTGTCGAGGGAGATATAAGGTTCTGTTTCTAGCTCTTCTGGCTGCCTCGACCATAGGCACATCGTGCTGTTGTAGAGTTTCTTGTGTTTTGAATGTATGAATGTGTGTGTGTATATATATATATATATATATATATATATATATATATATATATATATATATATATATATATATATGTGTGTGTGTGTGTGTGTGTGTGTCTTTGTTGTGTGTTTGGGTGACTGTTTGTGTCTGCTTTTGTGTCTGTCTTTGTGTCTGCGTGTATTTCTGCATGTGGGTCTGTGTGTGCGTCTGTGTTTGTGGTGAGTGTCAGCGTGTGTGTCTCTGTTTGTGTCTGTGTGTGCGTCTGTGTTTGTGGTGAGTGTCAGCGTGTGTGTCTCTGTTTGTGTCTGTGTGTGCGTATGTATGCATATATGTGTGAATATATGTGCATTATGTTTGTTTATGTATGTATGTATGTATGCGGTGTGTTTATGTATGTATGTATGCGGTGTGTGTGTGTGTGTGTTTGTATGCATGTGTGTTTTAGTGAGTAAGTGAGCGTGCATGCATTTTACCAACTATGCTTTTGTGTTTTTTCTTGATATTCATAATGTGCTTTTTATTATATTAACGAAACATGCTTTATTGATAAATTGCAACTGTTGTGTGAAAGAGACAGGTGTTAGGACAGATCGCATGTAAGACTTGTCAGCGTGCCCACCATGTGACCCTGTGAAAAAAAAGTTCGTTCGTTTGTTCGTTCGCTCTGTTTCTTCTTCTTAGTTTTCTCCGGTTGTTAACTTCGGCGGACAGTTCTGGTTGTTCGTCTACTTCGGGACTTTAGTCTTGATTCAGCACTTGAGATTTGCGTACACATCCATTTAACAGATCTGGCTGGCTTAATTTGTGTACAGTGTCGGTTGCTTGCATCTCAGGCAGATAAACTCGGATTTGTAAGGCAACACCCACTGGGTCTACTCTTTGTTCTCCACAACGGAATCTGCAACCCACACCGGTGTCGTGAAGTGATCAAACCCACCCCTGCACATTCGACTATTCGTGACGTTAACGCCCCTAGCGGGCAGGTAACATTTCAAATATAGACCCGTCAGGTGGGTATATAGTCCATCATATCTTTTTATACCTTTATCTGGCGTAATAGGTATTTCTATATGCTCTAAGTGTCTTGTAAAAGCTACATTTTTAAACTTACAGTTGTGGGATAGATATTTTCTAGATTATTATGAATATTCCGAGTAGCCTTTTTACTCATCGGCGTATTGATTTGGGAGCTTCTTTTTTTCGGAAGCGACGCTAAGTCTTTCCCTTCTCATTTTCTGCTAGACTTCCAAGTGATGAAAAGGGTTTCACCTTTGTATTTAAATTCTGTCTTGAAAAAAGTACCAGTTTATTCTTTAGAGGAATCCTGAGCTTGGGTAAGTTGATTATAGTTTACGAGTACCATGATATATGTCTCTATAAAGTTAACCTGCTGCTGAAGGGAGGAAAGATTCAGCTATGAGGCAGCACAGAATGAGACCGTTCTTGACGTCCAAGTACTTACGGCCACTTAAACCAAACCTTTCCCTTCGCAAACTGAGAGTTTGTGCTCTATCTAACTCAATATTAATGTAAATGTTTTAATCTATCAAGCTACTCCTTCTCAAACTAACTAGCTGGAGAAATTTGATCAAGATGAAGCCGACAGATTTAACTGGGTCAACGTACAGCGAGCGACACGCAGTGACGTCAGAGGTTATTTATAGCAGACACTAACAACACGGGCTCGACTCATGTCAGTCGATGGAGAATATAATATGTACATCTGTGAGAGGGAGAGAGAGATCGTCTGTGTGACTACGGGTGCAGATGTAAATGTGGAGAGATGATGTTTTCGGTATAATAGAGTCTATCTGTCTCCACTGTGGAACTTGACTCCTATCTCTTTTACTGACTGACCAACAGTGATATATGGAGACGTGAACTGTCTCATCCTGAGAGCTGTCCTCTGAGTGATTGCAAAGGGTGGAGGGTAATAAAATGCGCTGGGATGGTGACCCCTGAGATGACTACTAAATCTAAGTTCCTTCTTGACACAGGATGATATCTCACTGGAGGCCAGGCAGTCAATCAGCAGTCTACCAAACCACTATCAACTAAGTTACCTACTACCACAAATCCAACATGGCAGATATCAATGTGGAAGCCAGTGTGTAGGCATCAGCTTACAGGCCACCCATTTGACGTTTATCAGAGAACTCTTTCCAGGAGCTTGATTGGGCTCCAGTGGCTAAAAGACAGTTGTTGCAGGCCACTCATTTGTTATCAATCAAGGAGAACCTTCTTCAGGAGCTTTGTTGGGCTCCAGTGTATGAACTCTGTGTTTACCAAGGCAACCAGCAAAAGGAACAGTCCAACCGAATCAGCCTGTTCAGATCATCATGAACCGACGAGTACAGTGACGCCTACCAAGCTTGGATAAGTAGAACTCTGTGGTGTGATGCATTATGCTCTATTTACAGATCCACTCTGAGTTACTACGATGATCATAGACTGTCTAGAAGGGTCTCTAGCTGATCCAGCAGTATTACTTGGGTTTTGATCTCCTGATTCCAGTTGCCTGTGAACATCTTTGCTTAAATCTAAATTATATATATATATATATATATATATATATATATATATATATATATATATATATATATATGTGTGTGTGTGTGTGTGTGTGTTGCATTTGTTACAATGCTTTGCAAGTTTTCATTATTGACTTGAGTGTCCATCATTCACTTTTAAAACTGTCTAGAGTTTATGTATGTTTAACCATAGATCTTAATCTTTGTTAACATGGCTGTGATATTGCGGTACCATAGCCTGGGGGCTATCGTTTTATAGTAGTGGGGACGTCCAGCCAAGTTGCGCCTAGGAATATTATATATTCTGTAGTGCCATAGCTTGAGTTGCCCTACTCCTGAAATAGGTTGAGCGTATATTGGCCACGGAATACCCTTTAGACCAATACGAGCCGACGCCTCAACATTATTCTATTTCAGAGTGCTGTTGGTTCTTAAGGAGAAATCTTTAAAACAGGCACGCGACACGAGTATGTGACAACGGGGAAACTAAAGATATAGAATGTTGTTTGTGTATGACCAGGCAGTGATGAAATTGTTTACAGTATATTTGGCACTCTGCTAGACATGAAAGTAAACGAAAAATGAATGTTCGTGTTTAGAGAAGAGCATAAATAATGTGAACGGAGTTTCACACTCCTAGTATACATGAGTTCGAAGTCATATGCTGGTGATTCTGTAGTTGATCACTTGAACTGTGTCGTAGGATTGTCCCATCAAAGATTTTCCCTCTGGGTTGGGGGGGGGGGGGGGAGGGGGGGGTGTACAAAAAGGCCGCCAATAAAGAACATTCGTAAGGGAAATATTTTCTGTCTATGCTGACAAATGTTTATCCCGTAAAGCGGTACATAACTAA